GCATTTAATAACTTAGAGCTTGATGTGTCATTTGCTGTGGGTCATTTTAGAGTGAATATCTGATGTTTGGCTGGTACCTGTGAATGGGATGTACTGAGTCAAGTAGGATTTGATGCAATTTCTTCCTTAATGCTGTTGGACTTTGGGATTCTGAGTAGAGAAACCTCAGCTCCTCGTTATTGAGGAGGCTTTTATAGCATTCCACTCTTACCAAACAACAGCATTAAGTGTAGATAATGGCTACTATGTTTTACAGCACCAAACTTTAGGAAAATAACTCTTAGACCTTTRGGACTTTGTAAAAATACTGTTCATGAACTTCTTATGGTCAGCTACATAAATTAAATTAGCATCACCTTTGACCAGGTTAAATCCTACGCGTCTCTGAGAAGCAAGTCACACATACTAACTAGAAAACTCTCCTTTTACATTTGTAAAATGGGAATATATATATTGTGTTGCAAATCTATTGTCCAAAGTCTGATTTAATCATCATTACAGCCACTGACAATGATGTGTGCACACCTGTGAAACGAAACTAGCCTTCTCATATTGAGTATTTCTGTCAAGAATGGCATGAGAAATGGAGTGTGTGAGTGTGCTGAATAAAATGCTTTATGAAGCTGATATCTCTAAATAATTGAGAAGTTAAGMAAATGTTCCAATGTTCCAATTTTAGAGATAATTAAGAATTTGTTTGTATTCAGTATTTTTACACACTTGTCTTCCAGCTACCCTGATCAATTATGCATTGCTCTTAAGAAAAAAATAGAAAAAAATTTCCTTAATGTGCACATAGATTGTGTCTAATTGTCTTTTATTTTGCTGTGTTTGAAAATGTGGATATTTTCACTTAAAATCCAGTTCTTATTGTGCTTTATTTTATTTAAGCCATTATAAAGAAAGAAAAAAAAAATATTTCAGTAGAAAAAGAAATGCTTTCTTAAAAACATTAAAACAYTAATTAGCTTAAGGACAGAAACATTGAAATTAAAAACAAGAAACATGAGGTTATMATTTAAATTATTTCCATAGATCCCAGGTATATATCAGTCATTCTGAGTTCCAACTCTTTAGTGCATTTTTTTCTGTATGAGAAAATAATCATCTACTACATTCCAGTCAATGTAGAAAATTCCATTTCTAATATTTGTAATGAAGAAACAAAATTTCTGTCATGCTTTCASAACAAGTAAACTCAGATTTCTAAATTTGTAGTTTTGAAGAAATAATTGCTGAGGGTTGGACATTAAATGAGGTCCCTGCTGGGATAGGGAAATGCTTGTCATGCTGTATCAATAAATTGCTTCCTATTGTTCAGATAATTTTAAAGTAAGTGAAATTTAGTAAAACAGTGGGTTCAAATATTTTTAATTGCATTGCCATTCAAATGTAATCCTGGTGAAATGTAGTTGACTATAGGTTTGCTTTATCAGAATGTTTTTCAGCCGATGGGGACATTTTTGGGGGGTGGCAAACCCAATTAGCTTTTGCAATTAATTAATTATACTTGTAATTCTGTGTTAGCAGTAAATTTCAGGAAGAAATCTCTCCTTTRCCATGGAGTTACTTTAATATGCATCAATATGCTTTTTGAAATGCTTTTTTGACTCACCTTTTCTTGTGTCATTATACCTCTTTATCCTATTTTGCTTCTGTCTGTGCACAGCGTTAGATTTATAAATAGCTTGTAGCACTTCTGTCTCAACTTTATACCACACAATGTCCTCAATCTATGAATTATAATTGCTGTGTTTGAGTATTTGATTTTTTGGATAAATGAGATCCTGCRGTTCAAATAATTATAGTATGTGCTAACACCTTGAATTCTTTCATTTGAAAAGTTTTTTACAAATTCCAAACATGTAAGTAAATATTTTCTCCTTGTCTCTTTTACTTCTTCAGAATTTATAGAAAATTTCAGTACCTTTTAAATCCTCGTCAAGTTTATAGTCTTTCTGGAAATGGACCAATGCCAGGGTAAGTCTACAGTTAATATTATTACCCAGAAGTCATTTAATAAAATGCTACATAATCAAATGAGCAGACTGAAGTACATATAGCATGTTTGGAATGTATCAACACTCGTTCTCTGAATGGCTGCAGAAAYGTATAGGTATTATTTGTTTACATGTGCAAATAAAGCTATGTCTCATGTTTTACTGAAAACCATGCCTTATTCTATAAGTACTCTGGGATAAATTTAATTCTGTTTGCAGCTTTAACTGCCGTATCAGAAACCCCGAGGTTTGCTTTTCTTGGGGATTTTTCTTGGGGGTTACAGATATCAGCAGCTTCAAAGACTGACCTGCAAGACATCCATTCCTTGTACATAAGCACGTATGTGCACATGCACATGTATTTATAAGGTATATACGTGGTATGCATATGTATATATTCTTGTATGTGTCAGATATGGATTGTTATGATATTATGTCAGATTATGATGACTGCACACTCCTTATCAGTTACATAATCTTGAAAATGTAGTGGTTGGAAAATGACTGGCCAGACTATGCTGGCAGTGAYTTTTTATGTAGACTGAAATGTTCTCTGAACCAGCTACAGTCCCTTGCTTAGTGTGTTTCCTCCATGATTCGTGTTAATTTGCAGTTCTGTGAAGAAGGGAGAATTAGTGTGTCAAATATCAACTTTTCCCACCTGATACTCTCTCCTTTTTAAGTAGTGCTTACTCTCTCCTTTTTAAGAGTGCTTTGGTAGAAGAAAATAAGACAGAGCAGCCCTGAATATCTGCTCTGTATTTTATTTTGTATGTACTGGTGATATTTACTTATGTCACTGATACATTAAATTTTATATTAGGAAAAAGATCTGCAGAAGGATATTAGGAAATATATGTTCACTGACATTAAGTTTATAGTGTTGTTTGAGTACTTTTTCTTTAATCTTTCCAGTTTTTATTTATTAAGATTTTTTTTCTTTGAAGTTGGAGGAAAAGAAGATGAAGGTGGAAACTTACGTGATTTGTGCTTTGCAAAGTTATATTTCAGTTTTCACATTTATATTACTGGAAAGAGTATAACTGTTTCTGCCTGTACTTCTGTGACTGTGCTCTATCAGCTATTTATTGTATTAGACTTGAGATGTATGTAACAGTGATGAAAGTGAAAAGTGTATTGGGCTCAGTCTTTCAGAAGTTGACACATCGTGCACTGCAGCGTGGCTGACATTAACCTGCTGAATGGTGCAAAAACAGCTCAAAAATTGAGATAATGGCATGCATGATTTCTTCATGACTGTAAATGTCTTGTGCCTGAATTCTGGTGCTGTTTTTATTACTCGAGTGATATTTGTTGATTTTTTTTGTAGTCTTAACACATACAGAAAATTTAAGTACTCAGTTCAGAGCACAGGTAGACTAGAAGAATTAACTGAGACAAAACTAGTAACTAATACTATTTATATACTGTGTAAACAGAAATGCCATGGTAGAGAATGAGATAAATATTTTTAAAACAACTTAAATGCTTTTATTCAAAGTAATCTTATTTCACAGAACTTACAAAATCTGGCTGCATTTCTATCCATTAGTGACTCCGTTGCGATGTGAAGGAAAATGCATTTTAAGGCAGAGACACAAGAGGGCAGTGTTAAGTTCAAGCTGAAACCGTGCACTGAAGCAATTTAAACATCGTCTTTTGAACCAGGACAGTGTTTTTTAKAAAATGTTTTCAATTTCTCTTTCTTTTAGGAATCGAAGTAGTTTTAGTTCAGAGTCCCTTTGAAGAAACTTCTAATTAATTTTCAAACAGGCACCGCTTGTTTTGGTATATTTTTTTATTCATTTCACAGAAATGAGTAATCCTAAATTTCCAGTTTATCTCCTGCCATCACTTCTTGCCCCTGGCAATACTTTGTAGGCTGCATATAATTTTTCCCTTAAGTGAGAAGTTGAATAAACTCTGGCGTTTCACTTACGTTCTTGTTTCATTTTCTGCGAGGGCTGAATTGCCTAATAAAACCTGCCCATCCATCCATCTGTCCACTCATTCATCCATATCTATAATGCCAGTTATACTGGATTGTCAATCAAAATGTTATGTTTAGTTAATGTTGTCATATGTGAAATTTAGATTAAAATGGAACAGATTTGGGTACTGTTCAGCACAGAGAAAAGCAAAAGTGTGTTCTTCATACCAGTAAGTTAATTACTAGAGAGGAATAAATATAATGTATATTTATTTTAAAGCATTAATGATTATTGTAGTACATTTTAGTTGAGCCTATTTTGAGACTTGTTTMTTTCAAATACTATTTTCAGGCATGTTTACTCAGCCTAGAGAATGTTTACAGTATTAGCTAAGAATTTGCAATTTTTTGATAGGGCCAACCTGTCTGCTTTAACCCATAGTTTTATGGTTTTCATTTTTGATGGAATTTTTCTCGTGGGCTGCTGTCATCAAGCAAGAAGATAACATTCACAAGTTTTCTGATTTGAGTTCCAAACATCTGTGGCTGACATGAATTGGTATTTCCAATTCATTTTTTGTCAACAATCTAAGTATGCCTTCTTCAAATAGCAGAGAGAAAGACAAGAGAAYTTGGAGACTTATAAAATCGTAAATCTTGGGGGGACTGTGAAACTGCAAGTTTGGGGATTTTTAAATGGTCATCAGCTCAATTGCTATGTCTGTTGTTCTTCCTCTTCAGAGGGATAACCATGTTCTTGCAGAAGAATGTGTTGCAATAAAGGGCTCCAAAATAACAGCAACAAAAAAAAAAAAAAAAAAAAAAAAAAAAAAAAAAAATACACCCCCTAAAACCCACAAAAAAAGCCCCATGTTTCCTGGTACCATTTATTGTATACTTTTTTTCTATAACTATGCTGGCATATAGCAGATCAACAGAAAAATATTTTGACAATGAGTTTTAGTATCACTATCTGAAAGTGCAATTGCTGAAGTTGATGTGTTGCCTACTTTCGTAATAGATGGGATGTTACGTGGAGAAGAGCAGCAATGAYGTTTCTTGTAGCTCCTTTGCCCTCCTCATTTAGGGGTTTTGGAGAAGTTTATTTCTAGACATGTGATGTGCACAGTCTRTATCAAAATATGATGCAAATAACCCTGATGGCAGTGAGTCTTGCACTGATTCCTTCCCAGCAGTGGAGACTGCGAGAGCTGCTGCGAGGGCTGAAAATCAGGAAGCTCTGAGCCAAGGGGCAACAGTGCCCTTTAAAYATGGGTGTAATAATTAATGCTTTAGACATCCTTTAATTGACAGTAGAGGGATAAGAGTGAGCTGGAAAAACCCTGCAAGCTCTGCAGMTGAGCACAGGCATAAAAGGTACTGCACAGAGTGCCACAGTTAACACGGTGACGTGCAAATTGCTGGGCTGATGCATTGTGTAATTTGTGCCTAGCACCTGTGCTTTTAGCCATGAAGAGAGTTTCCCTGTTTGGTTGTTATATCTCTATAGGAGTCTTCTACTTCTGACAACAACWGTTATTGTGGATTTAATGATCTTGAAGAATCTGAAATTCAGTTATTGTTCACCTCTCAGAGAGGTAAATAATAGCAGGAAGAATAGCAGTCGAGCCACAGAGCTGCAGGACTGCAAAGAGGTCACYGTTTCACAAAGGCTTTGTCCCTCTGAAAAGGCCTCTATTCCCTAAAGTTCTGTTATTTAAARTGTCTAATTTATGTCATTTTTATACTCTATAATAGAAATTATATCCACAAAAATTGTATTTCTTTGTAACTTCCATAAGCATTTMATTTGGAGAGCATCTATTTTTTAAATTCTGTCTGTAAGTTTGCCTCAATAGGCCTTTCTAAATCTTAAATTCTGCCCACTTAGAAGATGCCCAAGACAGCAAAACTGAATCCCTGCAACTTATGCTGTAATTTAGTTGGGAATCCACAGCACCTGGGCCTTTTTACCTTCACAAAGCAACAGGCCTGTTTTGAAAATTACACTTTTTTCCTTAATTATTTTAATTGATTGCTAGGCATTTCTTTGCTGTTGGACACTTGGAATACCCAGAGTATTCTGTGAATATATATAAACCAAGAATATTTTTAGAAGATAATAAYTGCATAGTTATTTTCTTCTGAACAAAATATTGAATTTGGTCCATATTTCCTTGGAATAATTACATTTTTGCCAAAGAATGGCAAAACTGGCAATGGAAGGTTGCTTGTACTCGATTGATAAAAATTATTTTTGTACACCACAAATCAGTAATACTAAGAATTCACCAAGTCTTCACGTATGAGACTTTAATCCTGAGTTTAGAAATGTATTTTAAGCAGCTGTTTAACAACATTTCTGCTTCCATGACATCTGTAGTGTTGGCACCTGATACCTGGCCTGATACCCACTAGTGGATTATTCTTTGCTTGGGCTGTAGACAGTCTTCAGTTTTGCTTCCACTGTAGTGAAGAATGCTGAATGGTTTCATGCATTGCTGTTTTTATGCCACCTGATGTGGCTGAGAACCTGAAATTCTGCATAGTGCACTGCTTTTGGGTATAAGAGAAAAGGTCATGGGCAGGTAACAAAATGGAAAACACTGCAATTTATGTTTTTATTACTGTGAGTAAAACTTCAGTTTTGCTCTAATAAACTAAATAAATCTATTTATGAATAAAATACCAATGCTAGAGGATGTAACTATTTGATTTTGAATCATGCAGTTAATTGATTTATGTACAGGTAGCACACACATACACATTCTTCAGAACTGTTTAAGGAAATACTTAAATATTTCTTTAATTAATTTAATTAAYTTAATTTATTAGAGCTGATTATGAAAAACTGAATTAGACTRGTATAGGTAGCTGAAACTGTTGCCCTCTTGCAGGTGGAAATTATTGATTTATCAGCAGAAACTCAATAATTGCCTTTGAATCCTTGTTTCTGGCAAAATAAAAATAGGCTGGTGTAAATCACTTWCAGTGTTTCAAACTTTTTCAAGAAGATAGGAATAAATTTTCTGTTCTGGTCTTTCAACTTAGGCTGACATTGCACAAAATCTTTACAATTACTTCCCTTTTTTTAGTTTAATTTTTAAACCTCTTT